TGACCAAGAGGATAACGATGACATCAATGACAATGACTGGTCCTATGGCTCAGAGAAGAAAGGTGTTTGCGGGTCTGGGGAAACTTGGGGGGCATTGGGGTGAGGGGGGCAAGCAGGAATTGGTATGTTATGGTCACAAGTTATCTTGAATGGGCTGTGGGGCCAGAATGGAGCTTTGTACTTTTCTTTAGGTGCCCTTAGGTTGGGAACTTAAAGTGACCCTGCCCTTTATCCTTTTGTCTTACACAGCCAAGAAGAGAAAATCAGATAAGGTGAGAGCCGGGGCAAGCATGAGGGAAATTGGGCGAAGGACAGATACCCTCCCCTTTGGGCAGGGAGTCCTCGGGTGTCTTGACTCAAGTCTGAGGTCATTGGGTGCCTCTCTGGGTTCTGGGATGAGGGTGTCTGTGGTGGGCAGGAGGGCAGCAGAGGCCTTGGGGGATGGGGGAGGTGGGAATATGGGTAAACGAGCCTCTTACTGGGGAGGAAGGGTAGGAATTTGAGGATGTTTCTTTGTCAAATCTTTTTTCCTTCCCTGGGTTCTCGGCTCCCCCTTATCGTTACCCTTTCCCCAAAGCTATGGTATCTCCCATTCCAGAACCCCAATTCCCCTCGAAGATCCAAGTCTTTAAAACACAAAAATGGTAAGTGGGGCTGGAACAATGGGAGTGATTCTAGCTGTGTCTTCTGGGACATGTTGCTGGAGGGTGGAGGTGGGGGCTTGGGGACAGGGGTATCGAGGGAGGGCCTGTGATCCTTCTGTCACCCCCACTTCCTCTCTGGTTATTTTCAGGGTTCTCTGTCTGTACCTCTGCATCAAACACCCTTCCCCTTCTTTTTTCTTCTTCAGGGGAACTTAGCAATTCGGATCCTTTTAAGGTGAGTAGGGGCTGCCCCTCTTAGGTTGCCTCTCATTTTCCTTGTGAGAGTTGAGTGGGATTTGGACAACTGGGGAACACAATGCTGACAGGCAGAAGCACTAGATGGGGTATTTAGGGCTTGCATATTTATGTTCTTTCTGGGTTCCGACCCCTCACCCACATGATAGAAGGTGGGATGGAAGGAATCATTGGAACAGTGCTGGGCAGACCTAAGGCCTTCTCACTTAGAAAGGGATGAGAGGGGCTGATTCTCCACTCCCGACCTCCAACCCCCCACCCCTTCTTTGGCTGCCCCTTCTCTAACCTGTTCCTCTGCTTCTCCCCCAGTATAACAATTCAACTGGGATCAGCTATGAGACCCTGGGGCCAGAGGAGCTGCGTAGCCTGCTCACCACGGTGAGGGACAGGGTAGGGGAGGCCCTTGGGAGTGGGCTGGAGCCCCAGGCAGTGGTCAAGGCCCTGGAGGAGGCTGGTGACGTAGCAGTCAGGGCCATATAGTTCTCTGTTTGGAATTAGGTTTCCTGGCCAGTGGTGGTCCGGGACCTTCTGCTCTGGATGCCTTGGGACCATTTCTGTTGGTGCAATCTAGCATTTGTACAGAAGAGAATATCTAGCGTCTAGAGTAGGTTCCCCTCCATCCCTCCTTTCAGCTTATATTCCTCTTCCAGCAATGTGGGGTGATTTCTGAACACACCAAGAAGATGTGCACAAGGTGAGCTCAGAACCTAGAAAGGGGGCCAGGGGGCCCTCCTGCACACTCACCCTGGGCATAGGTCGGGAGTACCCCTAGTCTTGATCAATGGGACTCCCACCCTTCCCCTCCCCTCCTCTGATGGTCAGGCCTTCGGCCACAATCTGGGGGCTCTCCATTCATCCCTTCCCTTTGTCCATCCCTCCTACCTCTGCTGAGGGGAGAGGTTCACCTGAGTTCCTCAGACCCTTCCTGCCTTGTCAGGGCCTGATAATTATTTCCCCACCAGGTCCCTGCGCTGCCCCCAGCACACAGATGAGCAGCGGCGAACCGTGCGGATTTACTTCCTCGGACCCTCCGCGTAAGTGACTCTCCAAGGAAGGTGGTGGGTTGTGGAAGGTTAGGATGATGATTGGTATCCCTACAGCCCTTCTTTGGCCCCTCCCCTTTGCAGTGTCCTTCCAGAGGTCGAGAGTTCCCTGGATAATGACAGTTTTGACATGACTGACAGCCAGGCCCTGATCAGCCGGCTTCAGTGGGACGGCTCCTCTGATCTCTCACCCTCTGATTCAGGCTCCTCCAAGACGAGTGAGAATCAGGGATGGGGTCTAGGTAAGTGATCCAGCTGGGCCCCAGGGGCTCTGCGCCTGAAGTCAAGAAGTGGAAGCACTTTGTGCTCTCCTGCCACAACCCTACCCTCATCCCTTGTGCCTCTTTCTCTTCGAAAGGTACCAACAGCTCTGAGTCACGGAAAACCAAGAAAAAGAAATCCCATCTGAGCCTGGTAGGGACTGCCTCCGGCCTGGGCTCCAACAAGAAGAAGAAGCCAAAGCCACCGGCACCCCCGACGCCCAGCATCTACGATGACATCAATTGACTTGGGTGCAAGGGATAGCCTTTGGCTGAGCAGAGCCCTCTCTCCCGACCCCCACCCAGGCGGCATAGCCTGGCAAATGGACGGCTGCTGGGGGTTTGGGCTTGGGAAGCTTGGTGGGCCAGGCAGGCAGAGGATCCAATTATGCACCCCTGGGGGGTGTCAGGGTCCTCTGCGATGGAGCACGACCTCTCGGCATGCAGGACTCAGACCTGGACATATTATGCCTTGGACATAAATTTGGTGGGGAGGCGGTTTTCCTATTTATTCTGTGAGTTACTGGATGTCCAGCTAGGCCAGGGGCCTGACCTGGGCACTGTGCCAGGGCACTGCCTGCCCCCCACCCCAGGAACTGGACTAAGCCCTGCCGAGGAGCATTGTGGCTACCCGGGAGGCTGTGGGTTGGAAGCTGAGCCTGGAGGGGGCGCCTCCCCCAGCTGCCCTCAGCAATGTGAACGGGTCCGGTGCTTGGAGCTGAGGGACAGGGCTGGGCGTGTCCTGTCTGTGTGCAGAATCCTATCAGATGCCCCCGATCCCAGGGGTAGGCAGGCACAGCAAGCTGTCTGCTGAGGTAGGCGTCCAGAACTGCCGCCGCCTTCCCTGCCCCTCACAGGGGCAGCCCTTTTCCCTCAGTCCCCATGGGCCTCCTTGGCAGCAGGAGCTGTCCTTTTGTTGTTGGGTGCCAGGAAAGGGCCTCCAGCCTCTACAGCTTCAAGGAATGGGCAGGGGGAGGGTAGGAAGAGGGAGCTGTGTATCAAAATGACTCCCCCCTACCTTTCCTCCCTGACCCAGGGCTGGTGAGGAGTGGGGCCCAAGGTGGGAGGGAACGGTGCTGCTTTATTTGAAATGTTTTCTTACCTCATTCCCTGCCCCAGGAAGGGGCCCAGCCTCACCCTCCTGGGGTGGCCCCATGTTCCTCCTGCCTACCCTGCCCCACTGCCCTACCGGGGCAGCCCAAGTTCCCAGCTGCTGCTTGCCATCCCTTCTTTCACCTTGACCAGCTTCAGTTCCTCTCTCAATGCTCCTGCCTCCGAAGCCTCCCGTTTCCCCTTCCTTAGCCGCTTTTAAGTTATTTATTCTGTACTTGTGGTTTGGGGCTCTGAGGAAAATCCTGATCTTTTACCTCTCCCCTTTTGCTAGAAGTGGGGTGGGAAGAGAGGGTAGTCTCTGTGCTCTGGGTTGTCAGTGGAGGGGGAAAGGGTGTCATGCCTAGGCATTGCCTCTCTGTGGGACTGTCATGCCAGTGTGCCCACCTGTCTGGTCTACATCCTGAAGAGATGTACGGTCCCACCCCCACGTGGGCACCATCACTCCCAGGAGCCGAGCTGGAGGACTGCAGTCTGGGCTGGGAGCAGAGCTGACTGACACAGGGATGGAGTTGACCCTGAGCCATGTTCTCTGGCACTTGCTGGACGTGTCCCCTGCCCTCCTCTCAGGAGGAGCCATCCCACATTTGGGTAGCTAGTACCCAGGACTGGACGGACTGATTTGGGTTAGGGACCCTAGAGGGTTAAGGGAACAACAGAGATAGGGCTGCAGTACCCTGTCTGGGACCCCAGTCTCCCCCTGGGGTGGTTCTGATTGTGGCTGACGCCTGGTTACAAATTGGTTTTTAACCCAAGAATTGTGATTATTTTTTAAAAAGCCAAACAAATTTTGGCAGGAGTTAGAATAAATCCTGGGGCCTGGGCTCCTCTGTTCTTGACCCTCCACAGCCTTCTCCCTCTAAGGGGAAGCCAGAGGGAAAGGAGGATCTCAGCCAGCCTCCAGCCTGCTCCCAAATGAAGTCTTGAGAGTAGGTTGAAGGTGAAGGGAGGAAGGCCGTGGGCCACTCTCCCTTCTGAGAGGCAGCTGCAGCTCAGGCCCTAATACACCCTTTCCCCTCTGGCCTCTCCCTTTCCCCCTTCTGGTCACAGGAGGGAGAAGTGGGAAGTAGTTTGGGAACTGGTTTGTCCACATCCACTTCCCCATTGTTCCTTGGCCCGCCCTCAGGGCAGAGCCCCCTGCCCAGGCTGGGTAAGAGATGGGCTTGGTCCAGCAGGGACCCTGAGGGAGCAAACCCCTTTCCTCTGGGGAGAGTGTGCCCCCCTACCATGTAGTTGAACAGGGGCTAGGAGCTCCCCACTCCCTTCCCTCTAACAGCAGGCTGTGTGGGTTTCAATTCCCATCCTCCCCACCCCGGCTAGGTGTCGTCCACCCTGTATTCTATCATGTGTCTGAGTGTGTGGGGGGGTTCTGTACTAATTTCCATGGCCGGTGGCTTTTCCTTCCATGCATCACTCCCCCCCGCATGCCCAGGGGCCACCTGCCTGGCATTACCGCATGCTGGGGTCATTGGGGGAGGGGGGTGGGGCTCACGCTGTCCTGTGGTCTTGAGATTTTTATTTTTGCATATGTAATCCATCCTGTACAGGTAGCTAACTTTGTAAACGCTGTGTATTTCCCCTGCCCCCATGGCTGCTGGTGTAAATAAATTGCATCTCCCGTTGGTAGCCCAGCCTACCCACCCTCATTACCATGTTACTAGAGGCAGAGCAAAGCCATTCTTATAATGTCACAGAAAGAGGCTCCACAGCCACAAAATGGAACTTTATTCAGTCACAGACACTGACCATCCAAGAGCCCCAGAGGCAAGGGCCTGGGGCCCAGTGCTCCATATCCAGAGCTTGTCCTTGGAGTGGGTAGGGTAGGACACTGGCTGAGGGCCAGAGCTGTCTCTTGCTTACAGCCTCAGGCCTAGGGTAGCAGCAGCTGTGGCCTGGCCTCTCCCAATGCTGGGGTCTTGGCTTTGTGCCCCAATCCCCTTCCTGACTGAGCTCTATAAAGGACCATTTAAAAAAAAAAAAAATACAAGCAAAGTGCTTTGAAAAAAGGGAGAACACTGGAAACTGTCCAGAACATGGAGAACACCCTATTCCTGCTACAGGGGTGGAGGGAGAAGGCAGAGGCAGCTGGGTGCCGTAGGGAAAGCTGACGCGATCTTCCTGCCTGCCTGTGTGATTTTAGTTTCATAAGGTGGATATTTCTCTAGGGAATTTAAAGATCCTCCAGGGTCCCTACAGAAGGATGCTGGGGCCATGCTGAGCTGCCCTGGCAGGCAGCCCTGGGTACTGAGGAACAGACATGCAGGACAATGAGAAGAGCTAGGCCACAGCTGGGAGGGAATCCTCAGAGCCCAGACTCCCCAGTGAGCTGGGCCACCAGCTTGGCTCTGAACTTCAGGACCCTAAAAGTGAAGGAAGAGGACATTCTCATTTCTACCTGAGTTGTGCTTGCACAGAGGGGATATCTGTACCCTCGTGAACGTGAAGGGAAGGCCCTGTTCTGCCTCCAGTAGCCTATGGAGGAGGACCTACCTTATCCTTTCCACCCCTCCCTCCCAGGCCCTTGGGCCCAGCTCTGGCCAGGAAAGGGGGAGGCCATAAAGGAGGAAGACCATGCCTTTCATTTTCTCCCTACGTCCTTATCGTCCATACATCCCAAATACTAGGAAGCTGAAGAAGACGGTGACTCCCACCAGGGAGACAGTGGCAGGTGCTGTGAAGAACTGGCGGTAGTTGATACGGAAGTACCAGACCACACCCAACAGCACCACAAACACAGGCACCATGAGGCTGCCCACACTGACGCCAAGGCTAGGTGGCTCAGTGGCCGAGGAGGGAGCCAGGGAGGCTGAGGGGCCTGGAACAGCTGACCCTGGGGGTGAGCGGTGGCAGTGAATCACACAGTGGTCAGTGATGTTCAGGGAACGCAGTGTGCGCGCTGGGTCCTGCAGCAGGCGGCCCTGGTAGATCAGTTTCATCTGGCTCTCCTGTCCAGGGAAGTACTTACTGGATGAAGGAAAGAGACAGAGGGTGAGAAAGGAGAAGCCAAACAGGCCTGGACCAACAAAGCAGGGCAAGGGGGAAAACTGAAGGGTGGGTTTCTAAGGAAGTATCCCACCCACTCCTAGTAGGGGCTGGATCTGACACTGTTCCCATGTCTATACCAGCTTCCTCCGAGGCAACCAACAGCTAGGGGCATGGGGTATGAGTAGCCTCCCACTTTCCTGTGCACTCACCTCTTCAGGGCACCCACAGTATCCTCCGGCCTAGCCACAGCCAGCTCCTCGGTGTCATTGAGGAATTTGAGCCGCACATTGATGAGGCCAGGGCTGGGCGGGAGGCAGGTGTTATCCTCAGATCTCAGGGGGGCCTCTGGACTGCTGCTCTCTGGGCCCACTTGTCTTTTGGGCAGGCCTTGGATGTCAAGCAGATGCTCAAGGCTGGGCTCAACACCACCCCCAGCTCCAGGCTCCCCTGTGGAATCTCCCCCACCTTCGCCAGCCTCTTCAGCCTTCTCATCATTACCCTCTGATGGATGGGCAAGTTCCGTTGGTTCTGGGGTGCCTTGGCCCGCCACCAGATGGTCCACATGCCCCAGGTGGAGGACGGATGTGTCGCCAGCTGACACAATAGTGCCCAGGAGCTGGTTGCTACCGCTGTCTGCTACGTAGGTAGAGAGCCAAGCTAGGACCAAGGCTAGAATCAGCACCACCACACCTGCCACCACAGTCACCTCATTACCCACACCCTCAATGAAGGTGACATCAGAGAGCTCCATGGCCTGGCTGCTGACTGGGTCCACGCTGCAGGAACAAAGGGGGATAGCATCAGCAGGGAATGTGGGGTTGCAACCTGGTTTCTAGTTTGTTTAGGTTCTAACTGACCCAGCCATGAAAGAAAATGGAGTTCAGTGTCCTGTAAAGGGGGCAAAAAACCTTCCTAACTCTGGACCCCCAACCTAAAGCTAAGGATTTACCCTTCGCCTCTAGTGTGAAATGCTGGCTTTCCGATTCCACGCCCTTCCTCTCTCATCCTCCAACCCCTCAATGAGCATGGATCATCAGGAAAACCTTAAAGCTTTGTTGCTGCTGCTGCTGCTGCTGTTTGTTGCCTTTTTGGTAGGTGGGGAAAAAAATTTGCTTCTTTGAGCCTGAGTTTCTCTAGGATTCCTATCACTTGAAGAAGCCTCTACTGTGGCCTCAGAGAGACAAAAAAGCCTGGAATATTGTATGTGAGCCCCCTTTGGAGGCACAGTGCAGCCACTCTTGCCAGATTGTCTCATTTGAACCCTGTCTCATTCATGGTCAACAGATCTAGGTCCAGATGTCAAGAACCAAAGAAAATCAATTTAGCCTCAAAAGCAGAGTGAGACCACCCCGACGGGACAACTCTGTAGGGGCCATCAGCAGACACTTCGCAGCAGACATTGTGTCTGCCTCCTCTGAAACTCTTCCGGCAAGCCCTGGAGAGCAAAGTAGCAACAGACAGCAGAACACCACCCTCCTGGGTCATCACAGGCTCATAACTTCAAAACCACTACCTGAGTGGAACTGATTTAGAAAAGATTCCAAAATAGCTCACAATCCATATCTCAATCTCTCTTCTTGTGCTGTGCAGGTTCTCCCTTGGCAGTTTCTTAGAAAGCCTGGAAGGATCTTGGCTGGCTCCTTGGAGTACCTACTCTCTCCCTTGGAGAATCTGCTGCTTTCACAGCTGTCCCTGGGCAAATCCAGGCTGATGATTATCATTAGCAGACTATTCTCACAGCACCTATAAAACTTCATTATACTTATCTACCTGTCCATCTCTCTACCAGACTCCGGGGAGGCAGGGATGACATGGATTACTCTCTGTACCACAGTAGCCAGTACAATGCCATAGTAGTTGCTCAAAGAATATTTGTGGAACATACCAACATCTGAATAGCTCCCACATCCTTATTTAGTAGATGGGCCCTGGAGTCACAAAAAAACAAGTATAATCCCGGTCTTGCCTTTTACTAGCTCTGAAGCCTCGAATAACTTTCTCAGAGCCTCAGCATTCTCATCAGTAAAATGGGGTTAAAAATAGTACCTACCTCATAAGGTTGTTCTGAAGATGATGGAAAATCATCGAAGCAAGATACTTAGCACAGTGCCTGGCACATTGCAATTGTTCAATAAATAAAGGGGAGCAATTATTTATCACCCGCACGACTAACCCCTGATGGTAAGAAGCTTACTGTCATTCTCCCTGGTTTACAGAAAAGAAAACTGCGGCGAACAGAGGCGAAGACGACTGGCACAGACACAGGGAACTTTCGTGGGCAGGGGCCGGGCAGGACGCCAGGGCTCCCACCTCAGAGGCCTTTGCTCCCTCCTCTGCCTCCGAGCGACCCTGCCCGCCCGGTGTGGAGGGTCCCCGACCCTGCCTTTTCTGAGGCGAAGGCTCCGCGTCTGGGCGGTCCTATTCCCGCGGCGCTGGAGAGGGGTCCGTGGGCTCACCCGAGTCGAAAGGCTGCCTGGTCCCGGCCGCCGTTCCCAGGCCCAGTTCGCCCAGCCGGTGAGGGGTAGAATCGGATGAGGGGGTCACAAACCATCCACACCCCTCAAACTTCGGGGCGGAGCCGGGGGGCTGGGGGCGGGGCTTGAGTACGCGGGGAGTCATGGGAAATTAAAGGGGGCTTGGACTGGTACTGTGCCTGGATAGGGAAGGAGGTCCTCACCTGAAAGGGCCAGACTAAGTGTTTTGACTTTGCCAGGACGGCCCGTGGACTCACCTTTCCGCAGGGGCCGGGGGAGGGGCTGGCTATCCCTGATTCTGTCCAGGTTCCACTCTCTTCCGGCTTCTCCCGGAAGCTGTTAGAACCGGAGACAGGAAGTCCCGCCTCCGCGCCTGGCACTGATGACGCAAAGCTACGTAAGGCGGGCTGACGTAAACGTATTCTTTAAATAAAAGGGACGGGTTTCTCAGCGAAATGAGGGGCGGAGTCATTGTTGGCGGGATCGCGGCCCTCCGGGGGCAGGGCCACGCCTGGTAGGCGTGGCCTAAGGAGCCGAGAGATGCGGTGCGGGGCCAGGAGGGGTCGGGGGAGGTGCTTGGGAGAGGGGCGTGGCTCCGCGCTGGAAGACCGTGCTGGCTGACACCGCCGGGCAGAACCCTAGCGGCGCTTCCTTCGTCCTATCCTTCCTGTCCCGGCCTTGCTCCCAGCCTCCCGAGCTGATTGGATCTATTACTGCTCTGCAACGCACACTGCGCTCCCGTTAGCGGAATCAGTGAGGACCGGTATCCCTGTCCTCCAAGAGTTCGACTCAGGGTTAGTCGAGTGACAGACAAGGTGACTATTTAATCACCATCCGGTGCTCCGAGAATGCGGCCCCAGGTAGTGTGGGACCTTGGTAAATAAGGCAAGAAACCAGTTCAACTAAGACACGGATTCAGCCCGGGCTTAGGACACAAGAAAAGCAGGAGCCCAAAAAAGGAAAAAAAGGTTCAGCTTCCAAGAACTTATCTAGATTTTTGCAATTAAAACTTTTCCTAAAGACGTGCTGGGGTTTTTTGTTGTTTTTTGGTGGTGTTGATTGAAGTATAAATAATGAAGATGGGGCAAACTCAAGCAGGAGCTCGGTGGTTTTCACCAACTGAACACACCGGTGGAACCGGCTCTCAAATTAATAGAAAATGACCAAAGAACCCCCTTTCTTGTCTTCTTCCGGCCACTAACTTCCAAAGAGTAGTCACTATTCTGACTTGTCACCATAGATTAATTTTCTCTGGTATTGTACTTTGTATAAATGGAATCAAACAGTATGTACTCTCCTGTCTGGCTTTTTCTTTTCCTTTTTAAGTCTTTTTTTTTATTGTGGTAAAATATACATAAAATTTACCATTTTAACCTTTTTTTATGATCTCTAGTTGATGAAGAAACTCTTATTTTTTTTAAGTATGTTTTATTATTTTTTTTTTGAGGAAGATTAGCCCTGAGCTAACATCTGCCATCAATCCTACTCTTTTTTTTTTTGCTGAGGAAGACTAGCCCTGAGCTAACATCCGTGCCCATCTTCCTCTACTTTATATGTGGGATGCCTGCCACAGCATGGCTTGACAAGCGGTATGTAGGTCCACCCCCTGGGATCCAGGCCAGGCAACCCTGGGCCCCCCGAAGCAGAACATGGGAACTTAACTCCTGTGCCACCTGGCCGACCCCATGTTAACCATTTTTAAGTGATTAATTCAGTGGAACTAAGCACTGTCATAATGTTGTGCACTCATCACCACTCTCCATTTCCTATACCCGTTCATCCCCCTCCTCTGTTCTATTTCTGTCTCTATGAATTTGCATATTCTAGGTTTCTCCTGTAAGTGGAATCAAACAATATTTGTCCTTTTGTGTCTGGCTTATTTCACTGAGACTGTTTCCAAGGATCATCCATGTTATAGACCATATCAAAATTTCACTCCCTTTTAAGGCTGAATAATATTCCGTTGTATGGGGGTCAGACTGGTGGTGCAGCAGTTAACGGCGCATGTTCCACTTCCACGGCCCGGGGGTCGCTGGTTCAGATCCCGGGTGCGGACATGGCACTGCTTGGCACACCATGCTGTGGTAGGTGTCCCACAGATAAAGTGGAGGAAGATGGGCATGGATGTTAGCTCAGGGCCGGTCTTCCTCAGCAAAAAGAGGAGGATTGGCCACAGTTAGCTCAGGGCTAATCTTCCTCAAAAAAAAAAAAAAATCCGTTGTATGCATACACCACATTTTCTTCATCCATTCATCATTAATGGACATTTGTGTTGTTTCCACCTTTTGGCTATTGTAAATAATGTTGCTGTGAACATTGACGTACAAGTATCTGAGTCCCCACTTTCAATTCTTTTGTCTGGCTTCTTTTGATCAACAGTTTGTGAGATGAAAGGTACTCTTAATTTCTGCATACATGTACCTTTTGAATTTAAAGCTTAGTGTTTTCATTTTGAAGAACACAGGTGAGGGCAGGGCATCGTGGTACAGTTATACAGAATTGTGAAGAATGAGTAGAGATTTACCAAACAAAGTTCCAAACAGAGAGAACAGCAGGTCCAAGGGCTCTCAATAAATACTTGAGGGAATGAAAACCACTGAGTTGAACCATTGTTAATGCTTTTCAGAGTTTATGATATGCCAGGTACTAGCCTAAGCACTTCACATACATTATTTCATAGTGCTCTATCAAGTAGCTCTTATTGTACCCATTTTACAGGTTTGGAAACTGAGGCTCAGAGAGAATGAATAATTGTCCAAATTATGCAATTAGTGGTATAGGTAAAGTCCTCCAGATCTCTCTCTCTCTCTCTTTTCATATATAAATATATACATATCTTTTATATATATATCTTCATATATATACGTATATACCTTATAGGCAATATTTGGTCCCCTACTTTTTTCACTTAACGCCATACCATGAAGCTTTTCTCATGTCATTGAATATTTTTATAGCATCATTAATATAGTTTTAAATAGCTGTTCAACAGTATTACCTTCCGTGTTGTACTATAATTTTTAACTATAAACTAATCATCTCATTTGGATGGACATTTAGATTGTTTTCAGTACTTCATTTTTAAACAGTGCTTTGATAAACATCTTTGTCTTTTTTTTTTTTTTCCGGATTTTTCTCCCCAAATCCCCCCAGCACATAGTTGTATATTTCAGTTGTGGGTCCTTCTAGTTGTGGCATGTGGGACGCCACCTCAACGTGGCCTAATGAGTGGGGCCACGTCTGCGCCCAGGATCAGAACCGGCAAAACCCTGGGCCACCGAAGGGGAACGCGTGAACTTAACCACTTGGCCACAGGGCCGGCCCCTTGGTCTCTTTTAAATACAATAAAAATTAAAGATTAACAGAGTATTTTAATGGATCTTAACTTCTTGGACATTTTTCATGATGTAGTTTATGAAATATTTATTTTTCCTAAACTATTGAACTTAAGTATTTTTATACTTTTATATGCAATAAAGATGGTTATAGAATGGTGAATGTATCTGTAAATCCTGGGATGCTGCCTTAACTAAATATGCTTATAGTAAGTCCGTTTTATTAAAAACCAAAAAGCGCTCCTTCCCTAAACACTAGATGTTATTTGTTTCATGTTTGCCAATCTGAAAGGCAAAGGGGCGTCTGTTCCTTTAATTTGCATTCATTGAATTACTAGTTTGCACATTTTTCATATTTCATCAACCACTTTGTAAATTAACTGTTTGGGCCTTTTGCCTTTTCTTCCCTCAAAAGAATTTTTTAATTATTTATTTAACAGATTTTTTTTTTTAAAAGATTGGCACCTAAGCTAACATCTGTTGCCAATCTTCTTTTTCTCTTGTTCTCCTCCCCAAAGCCCCCAGTAGAGAGCCACATATTCTAGCAGTAGGTCCCCTGGCTGTGCTCTGTGGGACGCCCCTCAGCACGGCCTGACGAGCAGTACTAAGTCCACACTCAGGATCTGAACCGGCAAAACCCTGGGCTGCCCAAGCAGAGTGCAAGAACAACACCGTTCCGCCACAGGGCCGGCCCCAAGAATTTTTTTAAATTTCATAAGAATGCATGGATACCCATTTGTAAAAAATTCAAATATGGACCATAAACAGCCCCATGGGCACAGTCCCTCTCCCCTCCCCACAGGGGAATTCTTGGGTACTTGCCGTCCAGGCCTCGTTCTATTCATCTGCAATCATGGGGTTTGGTTTGTTTGCTGTACATATTGTCTGCCAACCTGTTTTTTCTCCTTACCGACAGTCTTGGAAATCTTTCCAAGGCAGTACATACGCCAGTCACTTGGAATCCCTCCCCAGTGCTTTCCTGCTGCGGGTGCTACCCTTTGTAAGGGCTATGCTGAGTTGTTGCAAGCAATGCTGGGATGAATACTCCCATATGCATCAGCCTTTTGTGTAAGCGGGGAGCAATGTTTAAGGGTACTGCTAAATGGCCCACCAAAGAGGCAATTTCCGTTCCCACCAATTGGATGTGCAAGAACTTATTTCTCCATATCTTCACCACACTGCATATTATCAATATTCAAAAATTTCCCCCAATCTAGTGAATAATATCGTATTGTTGTTTTCATTTGCATTTCCCTGATTGCTGGCGAGGCTGAGCAACATCATTCATTTACTAGACAGATATCTGAGTGTCCCCTCTCTGCAAGGCACTGTACAGGCTCAAGTCAACAATGTTGATGTCATTCCTGCCCTCACAGATCAAGGAAAGGAAAGTTTTTAGCTGCAGATATTTTTTCCAATATTTTGCTTTTTAATTATGTCTATGATTTGATGTTTTTATAAAACCAAATTTAAACTTTTTCTCTATCCAGATCTATTAATCTTTTATGCTTTTATCCTGACATATCTTCTCCTACCCCACAATAACATACATAATCATGTGTACCTTTGGGGGGTTTGGCTTTTGCTTTGTTGTTTCTTTTTTGTCTTTTGGAGGAAGATTAGCCCTGAGCTAACATCTGCCAATCCTCCTCTTTTTGCTGAGGAAGAGTGGCCCTGAGCTAACATCCGTGCCCATCTTCCTCTGTTTTATATGTGGGACGCCTAACACAGCATGGCGTGCCAAGCGGTGCCACATCCGCCCCAGAATCTGAACCGCCGAACCCCGGGCCGCCGAAGCAAAACGTGCGAACTTCACCGCTGCGCCAGTGGACCGGCCCCTGGTTTTTTTTTTTTAAAACAACTATCTTTTTGTAGTTGTACCTATAACAGAAAAGGCCACGCTTGGGGTCTGCC